AACGTGAACGGGGGCGTGGTCAGAGACTTCTTGATGACCCCACAGCAGATGAAAAGGAAACATTCTCTGTTTCGAAGAGAAGGTTACACTGTCAAGTCTTGTGGTATCGACTGTCTGAAACACAGAGCAGAGCCGCTCGAGGATTACAAGAACAGGGTTGATGGCTATTTGCGGAAGTACTTCCCCACGCGATTCCTACCGCACCAGCGGTGAGTCGACCTTTAACAAATCAGCGGGTAAGTGGGGGACGGTAAGTATAGGTGCTCGGTTTTTCTTCGTGCAATAATTTCTTGACTTTTTGGGTTTGTCCTAACTACTAGTATAAGACGATTTGTTCAATGTTCGAGACCGGACACGTGTGTGCTTGCTCACTGTCACTGGCCCCTTGTCAGCTTCTCTTACACCCATTACCGTTTTCGTTGCACCTCCTCCCCGCTAGCGGGCCGCTTTCGGGATCTACGTATTCCTGGTCACTACGAGTTATGTACTTGCGATCGGGCCGTTTACCTGACCTGATCCCGTTCTCTAGACAAGCCAATCGGGAGTGGCCTTTTAGTGGGTCTTGGCGGTCACTCAACACAAGCCTCAACCGAAGCGATCTCTCAGCGCAGCCGGTCATACTGACTCCGGTTGCTCAGACAGGGAAGCCCGGGCACCAGCACACGCGCCTGAGTCTCGAGATTCACACACGTTGTTGTACCACGTACGCCACGGGGTCGACGTCTAATGGAGACGCCCTGCTCGACATAGGGTCAGACCCCACCTACCTCCGCATACTGGGTTAACTACCGACGCCTTACTAACCACGAACCTGATCGTTATACGCACGTACGGTTCTCCCCGGCGCTTCACATCTCTCGGCGGTGACCTGCGTCCGTGCAATCTCCGTAACCCGCGTAGGAAGCAACCACCGTGTCGGGGTCCATGTAGGGGCGAAAGCCGCGCTGCCGCGTCCCCTCGTCCCTCCCCCGTCCTGAGAGTGCACGAACAACGGCTGGCGCCCGTGCAGTGCCTCGTGCGGGGTCAGAGATTCCGCTGCCCCTCCTGCCATAAGCCACGACGTCGTGGAAGGCTCCTCTCAAGCTGTACCGTTTAGTACGAGGCACGGAATTTCCAGGTACCGCACGACATGGTCAACGACCACCCGCACCGCCAGTGATCGGCACGTTCCGGAAACCTGAAGACATGACCAGTACATCCGATGACCAGCTGCCTCGGGTGGTCCCAAATTCTCGGGATCGAATGGGGGGACGCGGTCGACTCATGTACCGAGCGCCTTCGCCCAATCGTCGTCTAACGCCGCCTCAAGGATGCAATCCTTCAGCACGTCAGTTCCAACCCCGCCTACGGGCGAACGAACCGATGCAGCCTACCGGGCAGCATAACGTACAGCTGGCCGACTTCTTCCAACGACGGTGTCCGGAACGCCATCCTTTTTGCGGGCCTGCAAGCGAGCCCTGGCTAAGGTGCGAAAGGCTTCACGTTCTCTGCTCCTCCGACCATCTCGGCTCGCATCACCATGGTCATCAGCTTCACTACCACTTCCCCTGGCGACCATATCGGCCGACAGTAGACCTCCAACCAAGCATTGTACGTGATGGCAACGTGCTGTAGAAGCGGGTCTGGGGCGGGTCTGGGGCATCCCCAAGCACCAGATAGGTTGCCAGACTATGATGCAGAACTCGGTGTACTGCCTCATTCATGCCTCCCCTCCGGATGTCCCGGGCCAGTGAATACCATGTCGCAACCAATCTCACTTGTGTAAGCGGGCAGCTTCTGACCGATGAAGGCGCCGCGGTCAACCAAGCATCGGTCCGGTACCCCGAATTCGATCACCCATCTCTGTAATTCCCGGCGAGCTCCGTCGCCAGGTTGCGCCTCGTCGCCTATAAGAAGAACATATGGGGAGTAGTGGTCAAAGATGCACAACACATAGTGTCGGGTCCGATTCTATTGGACGGGTGCCACAAAACCTATCGAAACGAAACCTCCTGGGGACGGGCTACGTAACGAACCGACGGGCTACGTAACGACGACCGCTGGTTAGGTTGAGAAGTCGGTCGCTGGTTAGGTTGGGAAGTCGCGACCGCTGGTTAGGCTGAGAAGTCGGTCGCTGGTTAGGTTGGGAAGTCGCGACCGCTTGTTAGGTTGGGAAGTCGCGGTCGCTTGTTAGGTTGAGAAGTCGCGACCGCTTGTTAGGTTGAGGTCGGCATTTTTGAAAATCGTGTGCGGAATCGTGTGTACGAGAGTAACTGGAAAACCGGCAGAACAGCCAGTAGAACATCAGAGGGTGGATGTGTTTCCGAACCGTTGACAATTCTCCCCCGCCTGGACAAGAGAATTTCACAACGTTTTAATGGCTGATGCCAAGGACCTCCCTGAGGGCCGCCAAAAGGAGAAGAAAGCAGAGCTCTTCGCGACTATCGTTTAAGGACCTGAAGGCAGACCCGACGGCAGACCCGACGGCAGACCTGACGGCAGACCCGACGGTAGACCTGACGGCAGACCCGACGGTAGACCTGATGGCGCATGCGGAGAGTTGTATTGATAACAACCAGCTCTGGAATACCAGAA